TGGCTGCCTGTGGGGCGGAGCTCCCTGCACAGCGCGTCACCCCCCCCGCCCCAACCTCCCTCTCCCCCAAACACCCGAACTCCAACCCACCCAAAACCGGCCGGTCTCCCGTGAAACCTCCCGCCCGCAGCCCCGGATGCTTTGGTTTTTTGTTTTTTGGGTTTTTTTTTCCCCGAAATCACCACACCAGGGACGCACGCTGGTTACCAAGGAACCTTTACTCGGCCTTTCGGAGGGAGCACGGGGGCTGCCCCCGGCGTTCCCCGTCTAACGGCTCAGCAAGGACCGACCCGCCGGTACCCGAGAGGAGGCACCCACCGGTCATTACCGACGGCGCAGGACGCCGGGGCTTTGTACTCCGTACAGCCGGCACCAGGCGGAGACGCTGGGCCTCGCCTCTCCCTACACATGCCATTAGATTGCTACAGTAGGTTATTGTATCTGAACTATTAAAAGGCATGTTATTAATTATAAATATAAAAAGCAATTACAAGGGGATTGCTTAGAATGATTTACAACCCAACACCCGAAGCTAAGAGCAAAGAGGCTCCCTGCGCAAGAGTCCTAAACACCCAAGTGTTAGCCTTCGTTTGCACCACACCAAAAAGCTTACCTGAAATTGTGGCAAAATATATATAAAGGGAGGAGAATATCAAGCACAGAGCAACACGAGACCATCATCACTCAGGATGTAAGAGGGGAGGATGTAGTCTAAGAACCGGACCTTTTAGGAAAGTAGACCTTGTTGGGTTTACTTCTCAGGTTTATCCAAGATACACCTTCCCTCTTTACAACACATACAGAAAACTCCTTCAGAATTCCTAGAACTTAATTTTCAACTGAAAATTAAAGACAGTCTGACAGCTCCGGTTTTAAACACAAAACGAAAACCAGTAAAAGCGTTCCCGTGTTGCAAAACAATCTCTCCTCTCAACTGCAATAACTAAGATCCAATATGCTGCAATTGTTATTTTATTTTCCTCCTAACTGACTAAAGGTACCACAACTTAGGGTTTTCTTCCCTTTTTGCGCAGAGACTGGCCTTCTCCTGAAAAGGCAATAAACCGGCTTCCAGATTCATCCTGGAAAAAGGAAAGAGGGAAAAAATAGGTTGTTACTCCTGTGCTCACTGCTTGCGTGTGATGAAAGCTGAACGACCGTTAGAATGAACATTCCATCAGAGCAGCAACTGACTGTAGACATTTCACATCCTTAATCTACATAACCACCACTTTCTTCCTGAAAATAAAATACGAGCATTTCAGCGACCTTTCAGCCAACTGAAACAAGTATGCACTGGCTTATTAAACTTATATCAGGCCAATCTTTTTACATCTGCAAGCAAGGACATCAGAGGTTGCTTTCACCTAACTCAAACCACTTTTTAACTACTACCACTTCTTAACAGAAGTGCGCTGTGAAAAATCAAGTATGGAGAGAGGAACCACAAACTTGGACAGTAGTTCTAATGTTCTAATTCTGTGCAAAATTGGGAAGGATCCAACTTTATTTACCTCTTCAACTTTCTTAACTAGTGGACGTGAGTTTCTAATGAATGTGATTCTACCGATCTTGAAGTCATAGTTGGGTATTCCTCTGGAAAAGAAGCATAAAAATATGAAAGAAGACATTTTATACCTACCATCCAACTGAACACAGTGAGACCTATTCTATGTCTGTCAGTATTGTACCAACGCTGGCTGCAAATTTTTATTACCAAATAATTCCAGAGTTAAACCACTCAATTATTTTTTGAAGGTAGGCATACATTGCATGAAGTAAACAATCAGATACTGGAGCTGCTGCAGAAGCTTGGCTGTGGGTACATTTCCACGTAGCCTGTGGTTCCCACAGGGCCAAGGACATGCTTTTCAAAAGGGTTCAAGTTTTACTGTGACAGGCATAAATGACAGAACACCACAGGAACCACATCCCTGCACACTTCCACTAAGTCTTAGAAGCTTCCTTCTAAGAAAAAAACACCACCACACACAAACACAAAAAAACCTCCAAGCTCACACATGGCTTGGCTTTGGTTATCCACACAACTCAAAAAAGATTTCACTCTACATCAGATTTCATTTTAGAAAATTGGCAGGGTTCTGTGCATCACTCGATCCAGCCCAGACTAGACCTGCTGCCTCTCCCCGCTTGTGCTCTATAGAACCAGAGTTGATTGAGCGAGTTTTGGCAACATTAACTTAGGATCTGCACCTTAAGTAGTCAGGGACGTCACAGTCAGTCTAGAAGATTAGACTATTTATTTTCTAAATGCAAACTTATGAGGAAATTAGCTTGTTGATATTGCAGGAGCAGAAAAAAACCCCGACAAAACACTCTGCTAAAACACTGATCCTTCACTTGCTGACAACTGAATGAAACGGACATACCTTCGAATGTCTCCTGGTTTAATTGGCGATGGACTAGGCTCAACACCTTTCTTCTTGCCATCCAATCTGTTCCCAGAACCAGAGAATGCCTATGTATAGATAACGAGTTTTAATTTAACCATATCTTGTATTTGAAAGCACACTGCACAGGGATACTATATTCTGTAATATCTTACTATAATTTTTATTTATTTCTTTGATTCAGCATGTTTCTTTTTAGTACACTGGGTTGTGTCAGTATGTTTCAGCCTCCTGTTTATAGACTGCCCCTTTAAGGTCAGCAAGTCATGCTGTTACTGGCTTACTGGTTTGTAAGCACCACAAAACATTCGCAGATACTTGCCAGTTAAAGGAGGAGCACCTCTAAGAACAGGTACTAGTATTTTGCAGTTGTTTGGAACAACTTTGCCTCAGCATTTTACAACATTCAGAAACCAGCAGAAACAGGGGACTTACACGAAATCCTATGTCACTCACATATCCACTATGGTCTGCTTCAACATCCTGTGAGGGAAAAAACCACTTCATTGTGTTCATGTTGTGATACACAGAACACATGAAAACAGTTCCACATATTTCTGACCAAACAAAACTTTAGAATAATCTATTTCTGAAATAAATAGTTGGTAAACATCCATCTCCTAAGTAACACAAGCAAAAGCATTTGGTAAATACAGTTTAGTCTTAAGAAACTGTTTCAGGAAAAAAAAAACCTTATGTTGGAGCTCACTGCTCCACCAGAAGGCAGGCTGATTTCTAGAGAATGCATTACTGAAGAACGGAAGCTTAACTTACTGTGGTCTCCTCATGCTGTGCACTTCTTTCTGGTTCTTTGTACCCCAAAGGAGCATCAAAATCCACCTATTTACATAAGAAGCATGAAAATAAGCACGATAGGTATTTTTTCTTTTAATCATAAGCCTTATACTACTATTCCTCAAAACCCCACAAACTATCACTCCCATTTTGATCAAGAAAAAACTGAGGTTTGCTTGTTAAACATTTTAACTCAGAACTAAAAAGACTAAGCCTCCCAGGAACAAGTCTTAGCATGTAATTGAAACAGAGCAGTAAAACAGCACCCCACAATATCACTGGAGTTTGAATCAAGACAAGCCTGTTAAATAAAACTCAGGTTATAACAGAGGTTGAATCTAAACATTAAATTCCAGGCACTACAGTCACCTGATGGTAGTACATGAAGTGCAACTCGAGACCACAGATGTGGTTACAAAGGTACATGGGGTACTCTCAAATGAGTCATCTTCCCTATCCCATCTGATTTTACCTTTCCAGCAGCATCAGAGGTGCTTGGTGTACAGTGCTATCACTGAACGAGATGCCCTCTCCTTCTGGGAGGACACAGTAAAATCAGACCTTCCATGTCAGCTTTAACTTACGTTCATATCGCATTCTATGATGGACACAGCCTTATCCGGTTTGGTCTCCATTACCCGAAGCTCATAGATCTGAAACAGTAATGAGTATTTTAAGATTGCACATGAAAGAGCTCAAGTTATGTATAAGAAAAGCATAGTGAAACCTTTCCCTTCAGATGGCTTCAAGAAAGTTGAAATAAGTGCTCCTCAGGTTGAGAACTGGATACTGCAGGGTCTCTACAGAACACGAGAGCAAAGATTTTTAACCCAGAAGATTGCTATATGCTGGAGCTAGAGAACCTACCTTTTACTGTAACTTGCTGCACTCTTACTGTACCTTAACCTGCGTTTTTGAAAGCAAATTACAAATTTAGGGTAAAACTGAAAAAGAACTTGCAAGAACATCAGCAGCACAAAAATTTATTTTCTCATGAGTCAAAAACCAGTCTAAAGAGCAGCTCAGGAGAAGACTTAACTGACCCCATTTCTCCAACAGAAAATCAATTGTGAAACATACCATCTGGAATTACTTGTCAACAAGACAGAGCTTGTCACAGAGCTTCAACAGCTCTGTATTGATCGTTTTAGCACCAACACCCAACAACTGAGCTTAGTCTACAACCCCAAGTGATCAAATGTGCTCATGTTGCCAAAAATACTCATCTATAAAATCTACTCACAAGATTTAGTCAAAGTACTTATGTGGTCAAAATCTACTGAAATACAGTGTATTTTTTTACATGGGGCAGAATTTATTTCCTCAAATTAATGGTATAGAAACAAAATTTGCATGGACTGGTGCTGTATACTGTACCTTTTCATTGTAGTTGATGGCAATAACATCCCCAGTAGTTAGACAAGCGAAGTTTCTCAATGCATTTTCTAGTCTTTGGAGTATGTTAAGATGAAACTTTTGTTTTCAACACAATATGAAAACTTTAAAGTTACTATGCTACAAAACTCTGATCCTTGGTCTCTCAAAGGTGGTTTAAAAGTCATCAGTACTGTAGACGGCCTTTTAGCAAACATTAGGGTGTACAAGTTCTTTTAAAGGACACTCAAACTCATTGGACTTTAAGCCAAGATTCACGCTTCTTCACTCCAGGCTACACTTTGTGCCAGCAGCTTGCAACTTCTCTGTACATAAGCTCCCCATCCTTTCTGTTTTCATAAGGAGCAGTACTAGTTACCTACTACTGGAAGGGTATGAGCCACACCTGAAAAGCTAGCTCTGCTTCATCACTCCAATTTCGGAGAAAACTTTTGTCCCCTGCTCCATAATTGACAGGAAGGATACACAGCTTTGGGATTGGTGATGTCAAGAAAATCTGGACTCTGTGGCTGAAATTTTGAGTAAGTAGCAACTTGAAGATTAACACTCTCCACTTGCACCAGGCCTCCCTCTTCCAGCAGCAAGTTCTGCATCATCTGTAAGAATGAAAACAAAGAAACAAACCACTATCAACAAGACCAATGTTTCTAATTCCCTTTCCTTGCATATGCTTATTTTCACTGGGGCCACCATTTTCCCTGAAATGCACCAGTTTACCGTGTTTTAATTTCAGGAAAAATAGTCAGGTGCATCTCAAAAACCAGTCTGCTTTGCTTACTTAGTTAAACTCTCATGGAGCGAAACCTGAG